GCAGTGGTACATGCCTATAATCCCAGCACTCTTTGAGGAGGCAGAGGCAGGCAGCTCTCTGTGAGTTCGAGGTCAGCCTGGTCTACAATGTGAGTCCAGGACAGCCAAGGCTACACAGAGAAACCCTGTCTTGAAAAAAAAACAAAACAAAAAACCAACCAACCGAACAAACAAATGTTAGTCTCATCCACACATTTGCGGTTGGCCAGATATGCGTACTGTGGTCTACCCAAGTTGATAAATAAAATCAGCTGTCATCACTGTATATTCAGATTATCTTTTCATGTGCTACGTGGTTTACTTTTGCATAACAGTATATGATTTACCAGCTCCAACCGCTGGTGATCCAGCATCAGTTTTTAGATCTTAGGATGATGCACACATGGCTATCTTCATGGCACACAGAAGAGGAAGCAGCTGCAGAGCGTGGTCAGTCAAGTGGCTCACAAAGCGGTCCAGCCTGTAATCAGGGAGAGTGTTCAGGGGCCTGAGTGTATTCAGCCTGTTTTCCTCCTGCTTGCCTCTCCCCTCCCTATCTCTTCCTCTATCACTAAGCCACCTCTTCCTCCCTCTCTTCTTATCTTTTGAAACGAGGTCAGACGAAGTTTCAGTTAATCATCCAAGCATGTCCTGAACTTGTAGCGAGTGCTGGGGTTACAGATGTGTGCCTCCATGTCTGGCCTCATGGATCTTACTCCACAGAAAAGGAAACCAATGTGACCTGTGTCTGGGGCTGGGCCAGGGTTTTCTTAGCCGTCACTGATGCTCCCTCTGCTCTGCGAGGGGGCCACCCTTCACCTTTCTCCCCTTACCTCCTCTTCCCACAGGGCCTGTACTTGGTGTACCACCCTGTGCAGCTTTCCACCCCCCACGCCCTGGGCACCCTGCTGCTCGGCCTGGTTGGTTACTACATCTTTCGGATGACCAACCATCAGAAGGACCTGCTCCGCAGGACAGATGGGCGTTGCCTCATTTGGGGCAAGAAGCCCAAGGCCATCGAGTGCTCTTACACATCAGCCGATGGGCAGAAGCACCACAGCAAGCTGTTGGTTTCAGGCTTCTGGGGTGTGTCTCGCCACTTCAGCTATACCGGTGACCTGATGGGCAGCCTCGCCTACTGCCTGGCTTGTGGTGGCGGCCACCTCCTTCCCTACTTCTACATCATCTACATGACTATCCTGCTCATCCACCGCTGCCTCCGTGATGAACACCGATGTGCCAACAAGTATGGCCGTGACTGGGAGCGCTACACAGCCGCCGTGCCCTACCGCCTGGTGCCGGGAATCTTCTGAGGGCCATCCTGGGAAGCACAGGGAGGCTCTGTTGATTGTGTGGAGTTGCACACATGGCATCCCACCTTTCCCATGCTTGGGCCTCAGTTTGTTCATCTGTTGAATGGACTCATGACAGTGTCCAGCTGGCAGCAGCTAGAGAGTGAAGTTCACATTGAGCCCCCAGCAGAATGACTTGTTTTCTCTGTTTAGCATCCTGAGGGCAGAGGACTTTCAAGTCTGTCTCTGTTGGGAGCCCACCATCTGTTCTGTGCAGATGGCTTAGGCTTACCAGATGTCTCCCAGGATTGGGCCCTCCTGGTAAACTGGAGATAATGTTCTGCCATGTTCTTCCCTTCCTGTTCTGCCATGGTGGGCTGGGCCCCATTTTTGTCTGTGGCATGTGCAGTGTTGCTTGGCCAGCAGAGGGCCATTCAGAACAAAGGCTTTTGTTTAGGTTCTTATTTTCACCCTAGGAATGCCAGGCAGGGATCTGGGATATCCAGAGCCGTTGCCCACTACACAGCGCCTGGCTAACCTGGTGCTTCTTGTTTACCCCTGACACTTGGTTCTGAGGTAAACAGACTCACTCAGACAACTGAGAAATGTATCACCAGCCAGTGGCCTCAGCCACACCTTCCTAACCGGGGTTCCGGTGGTGGGGAGGGAGCCATTCTCATTAGGGACACTACCCCCCCCCCAAAAAAAAAAAAAAAAAAAAAAAAAACTCAGGGTATTCTGTAAAACTAGATAGGATCCTCTTAGCCTTGGAGATGATTGTTTATATTAAATCTGCCTTGTTGAATGAGTCACACTGTGCTGTCTCCTGAATGGGCCTCACCAGTGCCAGGGCTTGGGGTGGGAGTGGGAGTGAGGTGTGTTGCATGGTATAGACGAACCCCAGGAAGTGTTAGAACCAGTGCATGGCCGCTGTCAAAGCTTCATATCCTACTTGGCATTGGGGTGAACTGTGCCCAACCCTCCATAATTCCTCCATTAGTCCAGAGCTTGGCTGGATCATTTGCTTGTTGGAAGTGAGCCCATTCCATCTGCCAGTGACAGGAAGCCAGTGTCCCCAAGCAAACGGAGAAGCTATGTGTCTGGGCCTGTACTCCTAGTTTCTGGAGAACTGAAGATGAACGAGAGGTGAGTGGTGCCCGCAGCCCGGGCACAACTGGTCTGCTTCTGGTTAGAGCTGGTTGAACATTGACAGCTGCTCCTGGAGAGAGCCATGAATCCTGCTAGCCCGACTTGGTGTTCTGTCCGGCGTGTCTGAGAATGTGGACACAAGGGGTTTTAGGCACCTTCACCTCTCCCTTGAAAAAAGTCCTTTTGGGGGGACTGGGCTGTGGTGGCTGTAAACTCATACCAGGTCCCACTGTTCACATGCGAACTCTAGCTCTGCCTTCTGAAGGCTATATAGTTTACATAGGTGACCCTCTGTTGGCCTCACATCCTCATTTGTGCACTGGCTGAAGTTCAGTGTTCCAGTCTTCCTGCATTGCTGGAGGCAGACTTTCAAGCTCATTTGCTAAGAGGCCTGGGTTCCCGTGTTGGTAGAGCTTGTCAGTTGGCTCTGGTTCTAGTTTGTGTTAGCCTGGGAGCCCAGTAGTTTGGGCTTTGGAGCATAGTGCACTCAGACATGGCATTCGGTGACTGTGGGCCCGTGGGCCTGTCTGTCCCATCCTGCCACCAGCAGATGAATCCACTCTTTCCTCTCTGGAGTCAAGACAAGAGTGTGCAAGAGAGCCCAGGACTGTAGACTGGGTCAGCCTCTGCCACTCGCCAGCCACGGTTCTCAATGCAGCCTCAACCCAGGCTTTTCATGGATCTTCCAAGGTGGGGCCAGCTGAACTGTGCTCTGGGTGGAGCTGCCCCGACAGCCTGCTCAGCTCATCAGGCATCAGACAGACTAGACAGATTAATTGTTGGAAGCCATGGGCACCTTCAGAGTGGCTGGAAGGGTCACTTGTCCTGGGTCTTTGGAGATAGAAACAAGCTCTACCCTGGTGTCTCCAAGACACCCCAAACCTGTTTTCTGACCGACCCTCAGAACCTAACTTCACAGTCAGTGCAACACACCTGTGTCCCTGAGAGAGCCCTTGGTTACAGGTACCTTATGTGACAACATTGGGGGATTCAGCCAAATGAGTCTAGGGGATGAGGGAATTGAAGTAACTTGCCCTGAACAATGTGCCTGGCGAGGAGCCGAGACTGGGTTTAAAAGTGGGTGTCTGCATTCCAGCCACACTGCAAGAGATGGACCAGGAGACTTGGGCCAGGGTGTAGGCAATCCTCCCACAGAGAGCCATTTGTTTCGAGCTCTGTCCCACAGAACAGGAGCCATCATTGTTAATAATACGTTGTTTTCAATTTTAGGTTTTATGTTTTTATTTTTTAAGGTAAAGTTTCCCATGTATTCAGGGTTGGCCTAGAACCTGTGGCAATCCTCTCACCTCAGCCCCTAAGTCTTGGGGTTACAGATTTGTACCTCCATGCTTGCCCGGCTTCTGGGTTAAAAATGGTTTTAAAAGTTGTTTTAAATTTACTTATTTTTTTAATTTTATGTTTGAGTGTTTTGCCAATATGTAAGTGCACTGAGCAACTGTCTGGTGCCTAGAAGCCAGAAGACGGAAATGGATCCCCTGAAACTGGAGGTATTAGATGGTTGTGAGCTGCTAGATGGGCACTGGGAATTGAACCCTAGCCCTCTGGAAGAGCGGCCACTCCTCTTAACTGCTGAGCTGTTTCTTCCACCCCTGGTTGTGTGTGTGTGTTTTCTGAGACAGGGTTTCTCTGTGTAGCTTGGCTGTCCTGGATTCATTTTGTAGACTGGGCTAGCCTCGAACTCACAGGGATCTGCGTGCCTCTGCCTCTGCTTCCCTGAGTGCTGGGATGACAGGCCTGTGCAACCATGCCTGGACCATTTGAAATAGTTTAAAAAGAATTGCTTTTGAGGGCTGGGGAGATGGCTCAGTTGGTAAAGGGCTTGCTATGCAGCCGTTAGTACTGATTTTCAGAATCCACATAGAAAAGCTGGGTGTGGTGGTATGAGCTGGGGAGACAATATATAAGCGGGTTGCTGGGGCTCCTCAGCTGGCCAGCCTAGTTGAATTGGTGACCTTAAGGTTAAGCAGCTGACATACTTTCTAGGCAAGCTTGAGGACCTGAGTCCTGATGCCCAAAAGCAGTATCAGAGCATCTGTAATCCCAGGGTCTATCAAAACGGGAGCCAAAAGCTTGTGAACCAGACAGCAAGGAAACCCTGTCCCAAACAAGGTGAAAGATGAGGACCAGTACCTGGGATTATCTGTCCATCTATGTCTCCCCATACACACATGAAGAAAAAAGATGATTTGATTCAAGCCTGCCAGCCTCCTCCACAAACCACAGTTGGTTAGCAGAAAGCTGTCTTGCTTCTGGCATTGGTGTGGGTAATTTTATTTTGCTTTGTTTTGTGACACCCAGGCCTCTGCCTTCCCAGGCAGACTGTCAGGCAGCCAGGTGTGAGCCACAGGTCCCAGGCACCACCTCTAGGGCATCGAGATCCTCTCTTTCCCTTTGCCTTTCAACTCCCATGTTCTCGGCTGTTCTTGCCACAGTTCTGTTTTGCAAGCATGCTACAGCACTGCCGGCTGAGAACTCTCCCAAAGCTGAGCTAGGACAGGAGCTAGGAACCAGGAAAGAACTTTGAGAAACTGAGAGGTCCTGATCTAATCCTACTCCCTTGTCAGTGCAGGGTAACCAGGCTGCAGTTCCTGGAAGGAATGCTGGCCCTAGTGGCAAGTCTGTCCACAGTGGGCCTTCCTGTGTCTCCTTGCTGTGGACTCTGCAGCAGCAGCAGCCTTCAAGATGGCACCCTGAGACCTGCCCTGCAGGCAATCATGTAATCTGAATGGCTCTCCACCCGGGAGAGCACTGATGTGTGGAACCAGTAGAATAGAAATACGAGATGGAGCCTGGAGCCTCCATCTGAATCTGCTTGGAGGTCACGGTACTTCAGCCTGTGGTCTCTGGGCCCATGAGGTTTGAGGGGAGCCACCACTATGTCCCGAGGGCACTCAACAGGCAGGGCAGAGGCATCCCACCCACATGAGCTGCCCTGGAAGCAGGGTCCCTGTCCCTGTTGCGTTTTCAGGTGAGATGGCAACCACAAAGGGTCATCTTCCATAGTCTTACAAGGTAGCTCAGGCTGGGATCATCCAGCTCAGTGTGGGACTTACTGCGACTCCCACACCTCAGACACAATGTGATATATGACAAGGTGGCTTTGGACTGTTACCTTGGACGGTGATTCAAAGGCAGAGGGGGGTGAGAGACAACCCATCCTTCTAGCGATGGCTTTATGAATTGTGAACCACAGTCTAGAAAGTTCTTTTGAAAATCCTTCCATCTGGTCCCCATCTGGTTTCTTGCCTTGGTGTCTCAGGGTTCTATTGCTATGAAGAGACACTGAGACCACAGCAACTCTTATGAAGGAAAACATTTAATTGGGGCATGGCTTCCAGTTCAGAGGTTTAGTTCATTGTTGTCATGGAGGGAAGCACGGTGTCACGCAGGCAGACATGGTGCTGGAGAAGGAGTGGAGAGTTTTACATCTGGATCCAAAGGCAACATGGAGAGAGAGTGACACTGGGCCTGGCTTGCGCACTTGAAACCTCAAAGCCCACCCCATAGTGACGCATTTCCTCCAACAAGGCCATACCAACTTCTAACAAGGCCACACCTGCTAATGGTGCCACTCCCTACAGGCCTGTGGGGTCCCTTTCATTCAAACCACCACACTTGGCTTCAAGTTATCTAACAACTGTGTCCACTCAGCCATGAGGTCCTGGCTCTCTGTCTATGGCCTCTTTCAACCATAGCCTTGGACAGGATCCACTGCAGATATTGTCACTTGGGACTGCAGAAATAATGGCATTTTCCAAAGTGCCTTGAGCTACCTTAGGGCAGTTAAACATAAATAAAATCTCTGGACCCCAGCTAGTCCATTGTGGCTCCTCGTGTCCATGTCCTGGCTCACCAAGGCAATACTGAAGGGCCTCCGAGGAAGCCCAGTTAGTTTCAAGTCCCAATTCTCTCTCTCTCTCTCTCTCTCTGCCCCCTCTCTCTTTTGTGAGATATAATAGCTTAGCCTGGCCTCCAATTTGCTATGTAGCTCCTGCCTCTACTTTCCAACCTTCCAAGTGCTGGAATGAGGGTACATGTGTGGAATGAACCCAGGGCCTCAGCGTGCTAGGCAAGCACTCTACGAGCTACTCGTTCATTCCTATATGTAGCACATCCCTTGAGATTTCCCATCATGCCCTGGATCACCAACCCAGGGTTCAGGGCTGAGAGCACACTTCTTCAGGAGTTTAGGTCTCTTTGACTTTTGGGTCCCTTGTCATTCCAGATGGAGGCCTTAGTTCCCTCTGAGGTCCTATAGCAGGACAGACATCTAGAGGGCCACACAACCTCATACAATAAGAGTGAATCCAGAAGCTTCTTCCACAAGGTCATTTTAAGTAGGAGCTGATGGCCCTGCCTGGGTGAGGCCCTGAGGTCACAACTGTGTCACAATGTCCAAATGTCCTAGCATCAGTGGAAGGCCCACAACACCAGAGACTCTGTCCTTGCAGCGACACCAGTGAGTTCTACTTTCTACTGACTTCATGATTTGGTTCAAGGGATGGGGCCATCTTTCTGATGGGGTTGTGCTTCATAGCAGCCTTCACTGCTTCAGGCTCTCAGGTTTGGGCCTGGATGTCCCTGTTGCTTCACTTAAGTCTCTTAGAATCTCTTCCTCCCTCCGTCCTTCCCTTCCTCCCCT